CGTTTTTCTACGGTGTGACAAACTAAACGATATGTCCCATAAAGTACAGAGGCCTTTAGGCATGGCTTTAGTGTACCTGTTAGAGATGCTACCTCTCAGGTATTTCTGTAACGGTATGGCTTAGATCTTGCAGATAATCTTTTGTGGTAATTTTTTTCCTAGACTCTTTTTCAGGAGGGAAGGATAGCCCTGATGGATGCAATGAGCAGGGAGGGGGGCGTTTGCTTGTTTGTTTTTGAGGTGGAAAGGAAAAATGTTTGTTAAATGCTGTGATCCGTATCTTCTGCTGCTAGGGGTTTGGAGAGAATTTAGCCCATGTTTCCTAGATAAGGCTTGTCCCTGTAATCCGGCCCTAGATGTTAATCTATGTATCTTCATATTCACATGGTGCTTTACTGTTGCTTGCAGACCATTGTTGCTATTAACAAGGATCCAGAAGCTCCAATTTTCCAAGTGGCAGACTACGGACTGGTGGCAGACTTGTTCCAGGTGAGGCTAAACTTGGAGATGCCCGGCATTACTGTTTCAGGGATCTAATGATAGCTTAGATAATAGAATCTAGTAGGTGTTACAGATGTCTGTGTGAGGGTGTTTGCTTTGGGTTGTTTTGTTAAGGAATTTGCTTTATGATTTCATTATTTTCATGCCCAAAATTCAGTCCCTGCAACAGAAGCTATCCTGTGTGTTGGGTGGGTGTCAGCCAGCCTGCCTCTGTTCTAGTTTCCTGAATATGAACCATTTTGAGAAATAACTGCGCATAGGTGCTTACATCTATTTTTAAGCTTTATAAAGTATGAAAGTACAGTGTCGGCAGGAGTTGTTCCAAATTTTTGCCTGGGCTTGCTGCCTTGCTGCCACCCATGAGGAACCCACAGTTCTTCCTGGGAAAGCTGAGCTGTGAGCTAGCCCATGTCCAAGTGCCTACAGCTTGCATGTGCGAGCTGCCGGTGCGCACGTCCACACGTGTGACTGGCGGGAGCTTGTAGTGGCTCTGTGGAGAGGCGTGGGCAGAAACTCTGCCAGCACTTAATGCCATTCCTGAACTAATGCCCGCTGGCTCAGCGGTGAGCACGGGCCTTTTCATAAGCCAGAGACAAAGTCACATTCTGAAGAAACACCATGTAGACAATTTCCTTAATAAATTTTGTACGAATGCATTATTTCCACCTAATGGAAATGTAGCTCTCTTAAATAATTAAGAGGCTTTATTCAGCAGG